TTTGGGTATATCAAAAATATTGAGAGTTTCATTGTATGAAAATGATTGTCCCATCAATCAACAGCTATTGAATGCATCTCATGTCTAGTAAATGCTTACATATATCTACTGGAGTTAGTAACTGCTCAACATTGTTTTATTACTATTATTATGATTGTTATTATTAAATTTCTGATTGCTAGACACTACCAGGGAAATGAAACTGGAAAACAAAGATCCAAAGGGTGCTTGGAGCTCAGAAGTTCAGAGACAGAGAGAACATAAAAGAAAGACAGTCAAAATTGTTTGATCCCTTAGTCCCATTGCCATAAGATGAATTTGCACATCATTAATTAAATGTTCTCATCATCTTGATTAAAACCCTTAAAAACGTCTCTCATTAACACCTCAGGAAAAATTAAATATATATACAAAAACATTAATATTATTTTAATTTACAAATGTCTGGACAAGCATGATACAATAGGAAAAAAATTATGGACTTTGGATTCAGATAAACCTGTGTTTAAATCTCAGCTCTATGAAAACTGATTTTTTTTTTTTAATTCATTGAGTGCCTACAATGTGCTAAAAACTGTACTCAGTAAGGTAGTTCCTTATACAATTTCACTTTACAGATGAGGTTCGGAAAGATTAAATGGAAGTTCAACGTCAAATCTAGTAAGTGGCAAGCTGGGCCCACACTAAGAGCTACTTGGTTTTAAGCTTTATCTCCTATTCACAACTAACCTAACTATTTTGCTCTTTCCTCCTCCTCCTTTAACCTTTAACTTTTAGAGTACACAGGATCAGCCTTCATTCCTTCCCTTTCCACTTACTCCTAAAGAAGAACTTATCTTTTTTATAACTTTATTACCATCAGAGTTCTCCAAATTCTCGGACTTACTTCCCCAGCAAGGCTTGTCTTTGAGGCTCCCCTCCATTAGGTAGTATTCAATTACCTCAAAAGTGTTTCTTGACTATATCATAAGTATCCAAATGCTATCATGTCTGAAATGAATATTAATATTTTTCTCTGGAACCCTCTATCTCCCAATCTTTCGCAACTCAACATAGGATAATAAAATCTCCCTACATTCTCAAGCCAAAACAGTGATAAGTTCTGTTGAGTTTGCTTCCAGGGCATGTCTTGAATCTGTCTACATCTCTCCATCTTTTCTTCTGCAGTGTAGCCCACAGCATTGTTATATCTTGTGATGTCAGTAGTCCTGGACTGACCTTCTTACTTCATTAAATCTATTAAAGTATTTCCCTGACTTGTTCCTTTGTGCTTACTGTTCCCTGTCTGTCCCTTTTCTTCCCTGACTCTTGGTAGGACCTTTCTTGTCTTTCAAATCTCCAATTTTATGTCACCTCCTCAGAGAGTCCGTTCCTTACCAATCTCTTTTCATAGTTCTTCCTCCTCTATTTTTGTCTTCCTCGTTTGTTTTCTTCTGTGTACTCCCTCCTTTAAATTATTCGTTTGCTTATTGGCTTACTTTCTGTCTACACTTCTGTCAAAGAAAATTTGTACCAGGAAAGTTAAACAAGGAGAAAGATTTTATTGATGTCTAGTGCAGTAAGAGATAGAGATTGAATTCAATTCCACTGAAACAAAAGATCCTAAAAGAGCTGTGGTAAACTAGTGGAAATAGGAGAATAGTCTATGTGATTAGGGTATCTGTGTTTACTAATTGGCATGTATCCAAATTAGGCTCCTATTTTCCTTGATGATTGCATTTTAAAGTGATGGATCTCAAGTTCTGAAAAAATACATTCTTGAGTTATAAAACTGGCAAGAGACTGGGAAAACCGCTATACCTCAAAGGTGCAAAAAAAGAATAGACAGTAGAAAGTTTTCCAATGTAAATCCTCTAAGTAAAGAGAGAGGGCCTACAGTCCAAAAGAAACCTGTCTAAAGTTAAGTCAAGCTGAGGGGAATCTTCAGACCATCTTGGTCATCACTAGAGTTCAAGAGTCATGAAAAAAGAAGAAAGTATTTTGCTTTTAAACTTAAGTGTCTTGTACAGTCCCTGATTCACATAATCTTAATCAAATTTTGATGATTGATTATATGAATGATTATGCTATGCTGTAATACTAACCTGCGTTATCTTGGGTATTAGCATCCCTAGACCTCAGTGCCCTATAAACTTGGGAGAGTACCATACATCTTATAGATTATTGTTAGGCTTAAATAGATTTAGTTATACAAAAGCACCAAGGGTAGGGTTTCAGTAACTAGAATTGTTTCCTAGTTATAAACAAAATCTATACAAATTTTTAAGATAATATACTGTTTTCACTTATTATTTTCTTTGCTTTCATCGTTAAGAACTTCTTTTGTGTGTTATCTAAACATGAATGCCATTAAACATACATTTATCTTTTACCAACATGTTTTTTAAATGATCAAAAATAAAATACACAGATGGGGGTGATAAGTAAAAAAAAAAAAATACACTGATGATTACCCATGGCACTGTGAGTAAGCATAGCATAACTTGAAACTTGAGACCAGTAAAAGTGTTTGGCAGGAATCACCACACTCCTTGTTAGCTGCAGTAGGAAGCAAGTCACAATGAACGAAGTATATGTACTGCTGTATCAGGAAGGTTTTGAGATGATGGTCAAACCTTAGTGTTTGTTTGTAACCCATAGATTGTCTTTAAAATCTCTCAACTCAATGTAACAATAGTGTCTACATCAGCAATATAAAGCACAAACTATTACTACTTGAACAGTCTGTGACTGTCAGACAAAAGTGGCTATTTTTGTTGTTACTCTTGAGGCAATAGTCTCGCTATACTTGCTTTGCATAGGTGAATATATATAGCATTGCCCTAGCCATAAAATATTCAGTCTTTCATTCAGTCACAAGGAGTAGCTTCTGACTTTATATTTCAGTTCTAGAAAGCAGACACCTTGTGTTTCCTTAGACAGTGCTGGAGGCAGAACTAATGAGTGTGAGGACATAGAAAGATATTTATTTTTAAAACCAGTATAGTGAGCCCTTTTTAATAAGAGTCTTTCAGTTTCCCTAACATAAGAATAGTTACAAATTAAAAGACTGTTAAGTGGACATGAAAATATAAAATTACTCTCTATCATATGGTGGTTTCTCAAAAAGTTAAACAGAATATCACATGACCCAACAATTCCACTTCTAGATATATACCCCAAAGAGACGAAAGCAACTTGCACATCAGTGTTTATAGCAGCAGTATTCACAATAACCTGTCTATCGAGAGATGAATAAACAAAAAATGTTTTATGTGGCTTGTATAATCACCCACCCGCCCCCACACACACACATACGCCAATAGAATATCGTTCAGTCTCAAAAAGGAATTCAGTTCTCATATGTGCTACAATACAGTTGAATCTTGAAAATATTTGCCAGTAGGAGGCTGGGGTAGGAGAATTGCTTGAGACCAGAAGTTCAAGGCTACAATGAGCTATGATCTCACCACTGCTCTAGGCAACAGAGTGAGATCCCTTCTGAGGAGGGACGGAGGGAAGGAGGGAGGAAGGGAGGGAGGCAAGGAAGGAAGGAAACATTATGCTAAGTAAAATGATCCAGACACAAATGAACACCTATTATGTGATTGGATGGTTTGTATTTGTATTCACGATTGCATTATTGTGAGGTATCTAGAAAAGGCAAATTTATAGAAACACAAAGTAGAATAAAGTTTATCAGAGACTGGGGGAAGGTGGGAATGCAGTGTTGTGTTTAATAAGTACAAAGTTTCTGCCTGAGATGATGAAAAAGTTATTGAATTAGTGATGATGTTTGCACAACTTTGTAAATATACTTAATGCACCGCATTGTATATATAATGATGATCAGAATGGTAAATTTGATGTTATGTATGTTTTACCACAATTTAAAAATGAATAAATTAAAAAAAAAAAAGACTTGCACCCTTGTAATAACAGATAATCCACTCATCATAAATTAAGATTTCTTCCAGGTTGGGGAGGATTGCAAGACCTTGTGAAAAATTACAGATGTGAATTCAGACTTTTTCTTAAATCACTTACTAGGGATACAGATTTGAGCAAGTCACTGGGTTTTTTGGCATCCACTTTCTTCTAGTCAGAATATGCAACAGAGTTGCAGTGATGACTAATATTGAAATGCATATAAAGTGTTTCATAAACTCAAACGACTATGCAAGTAGGTGAAGACAACTTTAATATATTCCTTTAGGGAATTTAGTCATAATAATCTTATTACTAAAATGCACTTATTAATTCCTAATGAAGTATCCTAAAATATTAAGCTATTGTGAGTAAGACGCAGCCAAGGGCATTTTTTTCTCTATTTAAAAGTATTGAATCCAGGTGGGGGGTGAAGACACAACATCAGTAAGGGTACTTGATTTCAAACCAGACAAAGTGAGGACCAAAGGGAGGTCCAAACATTACCTGTACGATAACTACTCGTATAACTAATCCTAAGTTGTACCCCACATCTTTAAAATAAAAAATAAAATGAAATAAAAATATTGAACCCACAGTTTTTAGAATGAAAACTTCCTGAATTTCTGAGGAAACCACATTTTTAGTTATCATTTCTATAATGAATGGATCATTAAGCCTTTCCTTCTATCTTATTTCTATACCTTTTGTCCATGTTAGCCTCATTGCATGTACCTTAGGAAGAAAGGATATCTATACTATTTAGAAAGGACAACTGTATTGCATCTTGTCTAGAAGAAAAAAGGACTTTCCTTCATATTTATGTACAATTATTAAGAAATATGTATTCTGCTACTTTTTCTCATCTTCATCCCAAACCATACATTGTCATTTCCCAAATTGTCAAACATATAATAATAATTTGACATGACATTATATCAAATTGGACATTATCTTGGAAAGCACTTTGGATACATAATTGCCTTGAAAATAAGTATTAGAAAAGTAACATGAATTTCTTGTTATAATATCATAAATTAATACCAAAATCAATGTTGAAACAAATGTCAACTAATTTTTTTTTTCTTCCTTAGTGGTTATGTCTTTGACTATGATTACTACAGAGATGATTTCTACAATCGGTATGTGAAGTTTTCATCCTTGTTTTTCTGTGATTTATACCTTTTTAACCATTTGTGCATTTTACTCATTGGTGCTTTTGATTGAGGTATTTAAAGTAATATTTTTATAATAAAAAATAAAATACTAAGTCCCAGTAAAATACACTATAGGCATATTTTTCCATTTTTATTACACTTACTGAAGTAGCATGGATCTTGGAATTTTAGAACTTTGGAGGTACGTAAGCCTAAAACTTGGTTTCTAATATGTGGATAATATTCTAAAGATTTAACTACATTATTTTCTAGGTCTGTTGTTGACTTAGAATCCTTCAAGACTGAGAGTTTTGTAAATTCAGAAAATGACTTCAACCTAAAATATATTCACTTTCATGACATATTAATTATGCTATTTTGGTTAGATTCAGTAAAATTTTCAACCATTCCTGCTTTGCATGAATGTGTGAGAACATAAAAGTTACCATGTAAGTGAAACTGTGCGACATGTTGTTAATAATCAATGAGAAAATAAAATTGTCCCATGACCATTAAACATTTTTATCAAAACCTTAAAAGCTCTTTTGTTGTCTTCTCTATAAATACATAGGACACTATAATAAAGCTAATAGTTATTTAGTACACTATAATTTAAAACAATAATAATATTGAGAATTCACGTGTTTTATTTCTTTGTGAAAAAAATCAAAAGTGATTGAACCACGTGTGCCTTCTTCTCATCACATAAATTAAGATATGGAACAAATATCTGGTGAATTATCATACTCCTTACTAAGGTTAAATCAGCATGGACACTGTGTGAATGTTGTGAACTACCTCGGAGAGGTCCTTCATTTGCCAGTGTCACTTCCTTTCTATATCTTCATCCCTTTTCATCACATCATATATACTTTCCTTATTTCTGTTAGTAAGTTTGCCTTTACTAAGTACCTCTGGTTCCATATCTAGAGTTCATTCCTCCAGTGAAGGAATGTCAACATCCTTATGGTAAGCTATTTCTTCTATAATTTCATTTATTTAATTTGAATTCCACTGCCAGTGTTATCATTCTTCAATCCTTTGTTGCATTTTCATCTTTGTTAACCAGTTCCCTCTTTTGCTTATTCATTTTTGTAAAATATCCCATGGTTTATTACTTGGAGACAATGAGGCATTATCACTACACAATTGCTGTCTGTGTAGGAGCTAAATAGTAAACGAACAGTGACCAATGATTGACGACTTTCAGAGAAGCAATGCAATTGGTGATTATTATGATCTTGATGCACATTTATTACTTATGCCTTCATTTGTGGAAAAGCTAGCAGTAAAGTTTGGACTTTATGAAATTACTTACAGCTTATATTGTGGAAACTGAAATTTGATTAGTGTTGTTGGAAAACTGGTGATGTTATTTAACTAAACATTGGCAACTGAAATGCATGCATAAAAGAGACATGCAAAGGGAGGAGCAACTATAGATAGATCACTGAACCAAAAAAAAAATAAGGTAAATATTATTTAAAACTTTGATTGTAGGTACTATTCAAACAAAAAAGATCCCAAAGTACCATATAAAATTAAAACTTGGGGAAAAGGTTTTTTATAGACATTTTAAAGAGAGAAGAAATTCTGTGATCCTTGAAATGTCTTGTTCTCTGTGCTTCAGCCTTGAGGGTCCTTTTTCGGTTCCACAAAACACCATGTTTCTTCCCGCCTCAGGTTCTTCCTCTGTGTGTTTCCATCCTCTCAAACTTCCATCCACCTGATTCATTTGACTCCATTCTTCAGATCTCAGCACAAACATCCCTCTCAGATTAAATTAGGTTCCTCTGTTCCCCTCTCTCAGCACCCGGTGCTGTTCCTTCACAGCACTTCTCCTCATTTGTATTGCTATATTTCTTTCTGCAGTGACAGGATTTGATTCATGTCTGCTTTCCTTCCTCCATGAGGACAACAGTGATGTTCAGTTTTGCTTATCTTTGTATCCTCAGGGACTATCAGTAAACTTCGCATATAGAATAGGCACTCTGTGTTATTAATTCATCCCCTAAGATTTAGAGAGACAGTCATTTTCCTAAGGTTGCCCAGCTCATTAGTGACGGAACTACAATCCTAGCCAAGGTATCCAGTTATGTTCATTAGCTATCTATGTGAATATGAAAAACACTGGGTGAGTGGTGGGGAACAGTATCAGTCCGTGGTGCTAAGTAAATGAACATAACCCTGTCTACATGGAAATCAGACCCCCAACTGTATCATCATTGCACCCATGTTCAGCTACTGAGTTAAGCAACTTATTCCACTAGTTGTCCTTTTATGACAAAAATTACTTTAAGAATGATTTTTTAAAAATCACTTTGTAATTTCTACAAAACATGCTTCATTTTAAATATTAAGAAGCTTGTAATAATTTGCTATAAAACTTATGTGAACAACTGGCAGCATTAAAATAATCCCATTTACTATTAAGAAAAGATAACATTTATACAACTTTGATACTATTTGAAAATTTTACTTTTTGAGCATTTTAGTTTTTGACAATTTTAAAGATATTTTCTACTATAGCTCTTTTCACTTGCTGTAAATAAAGTTTTCAACTGATAATACATTATCTTACAGTCTATCAATATAAAAACATTTTATTATCTTAAGTGTTTTCTATCATGTGACTTCCTTACATTTTAAATAATTTCTACCTGAAATAGAATTTTTCTGTACAAGGTAGAAGACCCAAGTTTGGGTAACTAACCTTGTAACTTTGGACAAATCTTATTTTCAGTTTTCTCATTTTTATTTTTATTTATTTATTTATTTATTTTGAGTTGGAGTCTCACTCTGTCGCCCAGATTGGAGTGCAGTGGCCGCTCCGGCAATCCTTCCGCCTCAGCCTTCCAAGTGGCCGGAATTACAGGCATGTGCTACCACGCCCGGCTGATTTTTTGATTTATTGTGGAGATGAGGTCTCGCCAAGTTGCCCAGGCGGGTCTCGAACCCACGGGCTCAGGCAATCCACTCACCTCAGCCGCCCAAGGCGCGGGATTCCAGGCTGAGCCACCTAGCCCGGCTAGTTTTCTCATTTTTAAAAGGAAGGCAGAAGCTGCATTTTACTATTTCAAAATGATAGTTCAATAAAATCATTGGATGGATGAATGGATGGACGGACGGGTGAACCAATGGACAGACAGAAAACAGACACACAGACATAGATTTTACTTGCCAAAGAATAAGGCCCTTAAACAATTAAATAGTTGGAGGGATGGTAGCTTTCAGATGACTCTTCATTACACAAAAAAGCTAACCATGAACAATTTTCCAAATCATTTATTTGTTTTACATACAATCTGTTTGGTTGATAAGTGTGCAGTAGACCAGTATGATTGTATTGCTAACAGACTGTCTGAACAGCCTATGTGCTCATTGGCTTATTTTCCATTTCTTGCACTTGGCTAAGAAAAACATAAGCATCTGCCACTAGAGGATAGCCTCAAGACTTCCCTATAAACATAGAATACCATGAAAGAAAAACATAATGGAAAGCCTAGCAAGATATATAGCTTACAGAGTCTTGCTAATGATTTTCTCCACAGAAATTTCCCATAACTTACATTCTTCTTGTTGTTATGATTAATTTTTTTCTCTTTTTAGTAGAGGTGTAAACTTGAGCAAGTTATTTAATATCACAAAATCTGTTAGCTCATCTGTTAGGTGAGCATGAAATTAATTACTAACTCATAAAATTGTTCTGTAAATTAAATGAGGTAACATGTATAACGATCAGAATCATGCTGGTATATTTTTAGTGCTCAATGTTAGCTACTAGTAACAGTTAACAATAACCATTAACAATGATAGCGTGTTTCTTATACCAATATTCATAAAGCAGTGCCCACGTGACTGAGAAATAAACTGATCGGTCAGTTGTCCTTTCATAATAGTTCATTGAGACACCTCTGTATTATTCTGTTCTTATTCTTTTTCCTTCTCCTGCTCTCCAAAGCATTCCAGCTGCAGATGAACACACCTGTAGAGAGAATACTCAGCTGTCTCTGTAAACCCATGCTTTTTTGTTTTGGTCAGGAAAACAAACATCACACAAGTTATTTTGAACAGGGATAATTGTCTATAAAAACATGCTAACAGCTAGATGTTAAGGAACTGAAAAGGCAAAAAGAAAACACATAGTGTAATGGAGTTAGCAACTGCTAGAAGCAGCTACCACAGGGCTGGGGAAACGGGAAGAGATGGGGATTATCAAAATTTGCTGTAGGCTGGGTATGATGGCTAACACCTGTAATCCCAGCACTTTGGGAGGCTAAGGTGGAAGAATTGCTTGAGTTCACGAGTTTGAGACTAGCCTGAGCAACATAGCAAGACCTCATCTCTATATCTACTTTTTTTAAGAGTTAAAACAAAGGAAAAAAAGAATTCCTATAGAAATAGCACCTGGCTCAGTGAAAACTGTAAGTAGAAGATTCTGCTCATCTACTGAGCCCACAGGGGGAACTTGTGGGGTTTTCACCCAGACCTCTGAGAAGGGGATATGGGTTGATGGTTGCTGGGGTCTTTGATAGAGTGTAGAGAGGCTGTTCTGCAATGTGGCAAGAATACTCAAACGATATTCTGCTGCTACTACTGGAATGAATTGCTGTTGCCAAGGTGAACGAACAAGACTGGGGTGATGCTAACAAAAGCAGGAAGACAAAATACAAATAACCAGCAAAACCAGAAGGAGCAAGTGCCTTGGCCCTGTTCCAGTCTTGCAGTCTCCCTCTTGGGCCCTTCACTGGCTGAGCCAAGTAGGAAGCCAGCTGCCCCCTCTACCCAACCCTCCTTCCCAAATGTGTTTTTCAGAGTTCCAAACTCAGTTATGGCTAAGGGTGGATCTGAAGCCAAGAAAGAGTGACTTAGTAACTGACATATATATCCACATATTGTCATCCTCTTTCTCCCAGATTTGGGGGTTCTAAGATTCTAATGTAATCATTTTAGCTTAGAAAACTCTGCACAAAGTTTCATCTTAA